ACTCCCCGGGAGTAATCTATTGACTCCCCGGGAGTAATATATTGACTCCCCGGGAGTAATATATTGACTCCCCGCTCACAGAAGGTGTCAATTGTAATATTTGCGAACTCTGGTGGTGATTTACTAAATTACCACCATTACAATGTGCGGCATGGTGATTTTTGTATGTATTGTATTTGCTTTGCTGTGACAGCGCTGTACAGTATTACCACCAACACTGCGTTCTGCGATAGTAATATTGCTCAGCAAAGCAAATACAATACATACAAAAATCACCATGCCACACATTGTAATGGTGGTAATTTAGTAAATCACCACCAGAGTTCGCAAACATTACAATTGACGTCTTCTGTGAGCGGGAGTAATCTAAGGTAGTTTGAGGTCCAATTGAAAAAAAACCGAATGCTATCTCTTCGAGTGTACTATAGAAAAAACTATTACACCATTAAAATCTAATTTTTCCGGGGACGAAATCTTATTGTTCCCGGAACAAAAACTAAGCCAATTCTGAAAATTGTCGATTTGGCAGGCTGGAAGGTGAATTGAAAAAATATTAGTTCGAAGGGTATTTATATGAAGTCTAAGCCAATTCCACGTAATACAAGTCAAGATTGAATGACATGCAAATGAGTGGAGACACTGAGAAGCCAGTCAGAGTGCTCAATTCACTTCTCGAAGTCTTATGGTTGAAATCAATCTAATTCACTTTTATTTAAAGTATAAAATTATTGTTTTGAAAAATGAATGAATTTGGCTAAATACGAATTGATGTGACTAAAATCGATTTTAGTTAAAGGAGCTGCGTAAAATCACTATTTAAAAAGCATTATTTTAGAGCCGAAAACTCGTACTAAATATCAATACATTTTAAAAAGAAGGACGCCATCGGGTGGTTTAGTATTTCGATTCAATGCAAGTTCAAAGAAAATGCCAGTAGGCAGCTTCATTATTCGCTTTCAGTCGTTTCCCGTGTACAAAAAAAGTGACTGACTATTTTGGGACAAACTGACTGACTATTGACTGTAAAAACAAGCAAATTTAGTTAACTTCAATCAATTAAATTTAGCTATTGTTAACTGCAACAGCTAACTATAGTTGACAATAATCATAGTCACCCAATAGTCAAAACGTCCCAAAATAATCGCCTGACTGACTGAGTAACTATAGTCGATTGTTTTCCATACAAAATTTTAAAATTCATGAATATAGCTAACTATAGTCACTTACAGTCAATAGTAACTTAGTCACTTTTTTTCCACTCGGGTTATATTCAAATAAATTTGAATTAAATCGACTAAGTTGATTTTCATTAATTATATTCAACTATATTTGATTTTAGTCAATTTAATTAAATAAATTTAACTGAAGGTGACTAAACCTCTGACCAAATCGTTTTCGTTAATTCTATCCAATTTTATTCATTTTTAGCTAAATTAGTTTGATTAAGACTGACTTGCAACTTTGTACAATTGTTTAACTATTTAACTACACTGCCGACAGAAAGTTTGGGTAGTTCCATCACATGCTTTTCTTTCATCGTTGGCGGAATGAACCATATCAATTTATACATATTTTTATACATATTATAAATTGATAGGCTTTTATCTTCCATGGCTGTTGAATGGTTTTTCAGAGGCGGCGCTGTCATAATTTAAAAAAATTACTATTAAATTATACAAATTGACAACAAAATGCCATTTTAACATGAATATATTTGTTATAAGTTAAAATAGCATTTTACCCTCAAACAAAATGTGTTGCGGTTGAATTGGCATTTTAACACATGAGAAAATATGCAGACAATATATTGAATTAACTGGTCAGTTGAGTACGTTAGCCAGCTAAATGAGCTAAAACAATAGAAGTTATTGTTATAATGAACAATCACTTCTATTAAAACAAGAAAAGTTATTCATCATTAAAACAATAACGTCTATTGTTTTATCCCATTTAGCTGGCTAACGTACTGTCAGTCCAACTGACCAGTTACTTCAATATATTGTCTGAAAATATGTCCATGTTAAAATGGCATTTTGCTCTTATTCTTTTGAGTTTTCCCATCTGTATTTTCTCAGAGAATGATTTTCAAATCTCAAATGCAGTTTTATTTTTGAATTCTGAAATGCGTGGATGAATCTGGAGACTCTTGGAATCTAATTTTGTTGTTTTTAGGGCACCGGTGAGATAAACTAAATTTTAAAAAATTCCAATCTGGAATGAAAACGACCGAATAATTAAGAAAAATAATAGAATTGTATAAATGCATATTTGCATTCGTTATCTCGATTTATTTCAAAATTAAAATGACGGAATGATTATGGGTAATGTAAAAAAATATAACAAAAATCTGTGTAGAGTTTAAACATGTTCAAATATATTGGATAGATTTAATATTCATGTAAATGAGTCATATTGACAAAATTAGATAGTTAATTTAAGTGAAAAAGTCGGAAAGATACGCGTTGTGAGTGAATGTAAAAAGAAGTGAAAAGGTGGTAAACATTAAACAATAGTTAAAATAAAGAAATTAGTTCAGTTCATTTTTCTCAAATAAAATGATATTTAAGGAGAGTATAGAGTTAATATAGAAAGTTTTGTGGTGGAAATATTAAGATTTGTGTGTGTGTGTGTGTGTGTGTGTGTGTGTGTGTACTGTTCAACAATTTCCATTTACAGTACTGCATGCAAAATCAGCAATAGAGCATGTTTAATAGTATAGAATGGCAAAGAAATGCCACGAAATTTTATACTGTCATCAAATGTGTTTGTCTGTTATCAGACAATATATTTAGCTGTCGTCATCTGGATATTACAGCTCATCTGGATATCTTCAGCAGATCGAAGTGAAAACAATAGAAGTGATTGTTATAGGTATATAAGCTTGTTATAAACTGGTATTACTATAACAATCACTTCTATTGTTTTCACTTCGCATCATCTGCTGACGGCATCCAGATGAGCTGAAATATCCAGATGACGGCAGCTAAATATATTGTCTGTCTGTTATACATATAATCGTGCAAAGGAATACTACAATGCGAATACGATGGAAGCACATCTTTTTGACAGTTGGATTCTTTTCGTCGTTCATTGTGGTATTATCTAGGGGGAAATATCGAATAAAATAAGTTACGAATATGCTGCGTATAAGAATATAAACTGTATATACCGAAGAATATTTGCAAATAATATTTGCAAATAACTCCGTATTTATGTGGTTTATACGCATATATGCAGCGTATATGCGGCATACTTGCGATGTCTTCATCTATTTATGTTCGGTAAAAAATACTTGAGTATAAACCGTATAAACGTATAGATAATTCCCCCTAGGGTATTATCCACCTAATTTGAATTCTAAATATATGTAAAAAGTACAAAAAACAGCATAAAGTACAAAACAGCAATAAATTGTGAAACTATCCGAATTTATTGAAGGTGCCTTGTTGCTGTGGTTGTTGTTGATTGAACTGATTCTGGTTAAATCCAATAGGTTGAGGTTGTACACTTCGAATGTATTGTAGCGCTTTGGCAATTGCTTTATTTGTTGAAATTTAAAAAAAATAAAAGTTAATTTTCTTGATACTTCCTTTTTTTTTAAATGTTATTTTACCACTGGGTATTGGAGGCGGCGTTGGTATTGATAAACCTTCTGCACGGAAACCTATTTTCCAAAAAATTGCATTTTAAAAATAATTCTTTTACTTTTCTCTCTATAGTTTGTTTGTCGAGGCGGTGATACCGATCATTTAATTTAGTTCAAACTAACGTTCTTAAAAAAATGCATTTAAAATTATCAGCTTATTTGTTGATCATGATCATTGATCGTACCATTTTCATCGGCCACATATGTAATTGTGATTGGTGTGCCCTCTGGTGATGTATAGCTGTATGAACCTTGTACAACTTGTGCTTCGATCTCTTTTTGGCCCAAGTTTTTAACGAAACCACGCGCTTGCTGCTGACTACCATCGCCCGATATGTAACTATATGTGTAGCTTCCATCGTAGTTCACGTCATTTTGATATGATGTAATGGGAACAAAGCCCCGTAGTGGCTGCTGAAATAACTACAAAATGTAGGCAATTTGTAAATTTTGCTCAAAATCAAAGCTTTCTGCTATTTTTTATAAAAGTCTTAATTTTTTTTTTAAATAAAGCTATTATATTATTTTCACGAACTTATAACTGTTCTGTCTTTTTCTCTGCCAAAACGAAGAATTTTAAGATTTTTTAAGAATGAAGATTCTTAAAAATGAACTTCTGTGCATAAATTCGTGAATATTTCATTTCACATAGTATACCTGTTGTTGTTGTTGTTGTTGTTGTTGTTGTTGTTGTTGTTGCTGCTGCTGCTGCTGCTGCTGCTGAATTTGCTGTTGATAATTTTGTTGGGGTAAAAGTTGCTGATTTTGAGGTCGATTGAATGCATTTTGGTTAAAATTAAAGGCATTATTTTGTTGTGGTAGTGTATGTACATATATAAACAGACACATCCATGTTGATATAATTAACTGAAATTAGCAATTTTTTTTAAATTTAAAACACCACTATTATATTTTATTTCTTCAAAAAAAAATGCCGCCTTAAAATCACAAAATTACCATAATCATTTTAAGAGTTTTAAAGAAAATTGATTTGATGAAAAAATAGATAGATCCCTGGTGTATTTAAATTAAACACTTGATTTTCGATCACTCTATGTACACAGTAAGATTGAAAAACAGTAGTCCATTAATAATTGGAGGTGTGAAAAATTTATCATATATAAAAACACAATTTCAACATCAATCTCAACAGTTTCAATCGATCACTTAAAAATTTTAAGACACTGCTTCATTCAGTTCCGATTCCAGTGTACAACTATTAACATTTATGGTATGTTCGGTTTTATTTATATGAAAACACATGCGGCTTAGTCCCGCCAAAATAGTTCCATTACAAAGGTGCGCACACCGATTTTGGTTCAATAATCACAATAGATGAATTGAAACAACACAAACCAACGGAGAGACGAAAAAAGCTCTCGCATATAAACGGTACATATGCATCGGGAGTAGCGAAAAGAAACAAATATTAAAAAACTTATAAATAACAAATAAAAAGAATGAAGCGAATGAAGAAAAAATGACGACATAGACAATCTCATTAAGCGAATGAACAAAAAAAAGTTGAATCCAAAAAAGAAGAAGGCGAAAGATTAAATGAAAAACTATGAAAATACTTTTGTTAGCGAATAAGAGTTCAGCATTAAAAGAAAAGAGAATTACAAATATTTTAACGGGCTAAGGTGTTTTTTTCATTTTTTCTCGCTCCCGTGCGTTTGTTGTCTCACTTTTGATTTTCTATCACGGTTTATGTTCACATCATATATTAAATCAAGCGGCTGTAATGTGCGATAGTCGGATGCGCCAAAAGGCACTTCATACCGCCACTGCCGTAGCCGTTATTCATTTGGCAAATATTGTTGCATTACGATCAAAAATATGATACTATATTCGCATCACCATTGTCTTTTTTTTTTCTTTGATCCGCTTTGACGTATGGCAAACGTCTCAGAACCTTCGTAGGCGAACATATTCAATAAAATAGATGTATTTGTACAAGAGAATAACACACAATTCAATCTTTTTCTAACTAATTGTAACATGTTTTCGAACCGTAGTGCCATTTTCATACGTTCAATGAGTAATTGAGGTTCATATGAAGATATGACAGTCAACAATGGCAGTTCTCTGCCAATCCCTCTCGTTTCGAAGGATTTAAACGTTACGATATTCGTTTTATTTGATTTTTTAATTTAATTTAATAAATTGCAACTGTGTGATCATCATATCAGAAGCTGCTGGAATCGGTTATGCATGTACCAAATGAACTCGTTTTTTTTTAAATCCAATGTAGGTTCCACAATGTATTTACTCAATTTAATGGCTAGTTTCGATCCATGTCATGAAAATGGCAGCCAAAAAAATGTAGATGTACACTTACAAAATGCTGTTTGCAACCGTTTCGGACATATAGGCAAAGAATCGTCTGTCTTGTCCGCGATGTGGTAGCATTAATTATAATTTACCAATGAAGTGCAACGGATGGCCAGTGCAGCGTGGCGATGATATTAATAAAAAAAGATGCACCTCAATTCAAGCGGGTCTGAGACAACGCGCAATTCGAAATTTTTTGGCATCAGCAATATGTTCTCTCTCTCTCTCTCTCTCTCTCTCTCTCTCTCTCTCTCTCTCTCTCTCTCTCTCTCTCTCTCTTGGTTGAACAATGGATATATACATTCGACAGATCGCAGCACCACGAATATGGGCCAAATCAACGCTCACAACGCGTTACAAAAATTGTAAAGTAATTATAAGAATTTTCGGTCAATGCAAGCGCGCTGATTTTTTTCGGCATTTTGAAACACACCAACAACAACAAAACACAAGAGCAATATTAAATAACATTTTTCACTTGAGCTGTACTGTTGGTGATTTGATAATGTGCGGCAACAAGCAAAATAAATTCACATTAAAAACAATCAACCACAAACTGAAAGTAAGCAACTTTAAAAAAAAGATTGAACAAAGAATATATGGAGAGAAGAATATAAAAAAAATAAAGAATGCACCGAAGATTTATGATTCGAATGATTTCATTTTTGTGCCAAATGCATACAAATCTACGACGAAGGTTCTATTGATCTCGTCGGATGTGTGTGCCTTTTTTCCGTGATTGGTGTCTTCTTTGCAAATGCAAATGAAAAAATTTATTATTTGTTAAACTGTATTCGACTTGGTGCACAAGATTTATATATTTTGCCGTTGTGTGCGTATAATGTGATTTTTTTGCCACCGCCATTCATTTGATCTTGCTAGATGATGAACATATGCGGGTGTTCAAGTTGTGTGTAACAATGCATGAAAAATAAATAGCATCGGGTGGTTAGTTAATCCAAAACGACTATAACGGTCGCGGAGAGTGAATGAGTAAGAGAGAGAGAGAGAGAGAGAATATGTATACATTTTTTTCTGGTTCACTTCATTCGAAACGGTGAATTTAGTATTTAGTGTACGCAATGCTTACAGTGCATCGTCAGTCGAAACATAACAAAACGTGTCAATTATAATGAAATGCGTGTGTTTGATCGCAAACGAAGCTGAATCATTTCGACTCTATTTCTGTACAACGGTTTTGAATAGCTTAAAAGATCAACTAAATTAGTCAATAAATTTTCAATTAACACAAAATATATGGCATCCAGACGAATATGAAGTAAATATCATACATTTTTCATGTCTTCGGACAAAACGAGTGGTAATTTCATAAGCATCTCTTTTTTAGCATTGGCCATGAGTCAAAATGCCAAACGAAGTCACGATGAAATCGGATGACAACCATAATTTTCGTCAATTTTCAATAATTTTGTCAATGAACTTTTCTATTTAACAAATTTAAACATTTATAAGTTAACGCAATATATTCCATTGAACAAAAGGTTTTTGATTCTTTGAAACACATGCAGAGAAAGAAAGATTTAAATGCCGCAACACAATGGAAAACAAACATGTTGAATAAAAGAAGAGAATAAAGATTCAGAGAGAGAGAGAGAGAGAGCAAGAAAATTTAATAAAATTACAAACGTATCAATTGCGACATGAAATAGGCATTTAATTAAAAATGACGAAAAAGGTATGCGCTTAGGTATACGAGAACCTTGAACAATTATTATTATTTAAATATGCATGCACTTTTTTTAAATGAATATTCAATTAATAATCGTTGGCATTATGAATTTATTGCAATTGCACTTGTAATTGATAATTGGAAAATGATTGACAATCAAATCAGGTGTGATGAACTTCGAATAAACAGCTTAAATATCGATATGAATGGGGTAGAATAAAAACTACTTCTCGAAAAATGTTTAAACACGAAACCTAAAAAAACTTTCAATGAAAAGTGAACCAATTTTTTTTGTCCAATTGAAGTGAACCGAAAAATTTTTGTTCAATAAAAGTGAACCTAAAAAAATATCATTTCACACTGTAAAAAAACCGAATGAATTTTTCTTTTGGTTCACTTTTATTGAGCAATTTTTTTTTGGTTCACTTCAATTGGACAAAAAAAATTTGGTTCACTTTTAATTGAATTTTTTTTTAGGTTTCGTTTTCAAATATCAATTTTTCGAGAAGTACTTTTTATTCGACCCCATTCATATATTCTGACATTGATAAGCCGAAACGTCAAAACGATTTAATTTTTGATTTTATTTTCACGTTCTTCTTTGGTGTGCTATCTTTTTTTTACAATGCTTCCGGGTACGATGTGGATTTGAGGCAGTGCAGTTGAATCATGAATTGTGGGCATAATTAATCTGTTGACTTTTGACCCGGAATCGATTCATGGCAATACGTAGCTTTCGCATTTTTTTTCTTACTCTTACTATTTTAATCTTGCAGTAAGCATATTTCATTTAATTTATATAATTATTAATATGGATTTGATTGCAATTAGTTTGCGTTTGAAATGATTGACGCGATTCGATTAGCGCTGAACCAGTTGTACATAAATCAGTGTGATCTATGCACAATAATTGAACGAGATACGGTCAAGGAGCTGGATAAACTGAAATATCTATATATACATACTTATATGTGTGTGTGTGTTTGATGTATTTAACCAATCATGCCGACTGCATTATTTGATTTGCTAATAAACAGGCGGGCGGAGTAAATATCGATTGTGTCACGAATTTCGCATGCAAGAGAATTGATTCGATTTGATTTCGATTCGGTGTGGTTGTTTAAAAATATATGATGATTGCATCGTTGAAAATGCATGAGCAACGACAGAGCAGAACAAAATAATAACAAACCTTTGAAAATTATTCAATAAATTATTAGTTGAATTGATTGTACAAACATGGGATGTTTATTATTAATGCTGGCAAAAAATAATTTATTGCAAATTTATCGAGTTAATGTCAAATTTCGAGTTTTCGAAATTGTGATGATCGTTTTTTGTTTTTCTTCAAATGGCTTGATGCCTTCCTTAATTCGAAATAATTTTCGTTGAAACATCTAAATTAAAATAGACATTATGTGCTTCGCATTAAATGTGAATGAGCGTGATTTATTATTGAAATGAAAGAATCTTCACTGGAAATTCGTCCCAAGTCCACTGGTAAAGCGTTTTCATTCAATGGAATCGATTGCGGTAAGTTCAATTCAGATACAGAATGCATATGAAGCAATAAAATTGAAGAGAATCATTTTAGCATTATGTAAAAACGCCATTTAATAATGAATTTACATATTCATTCACGCAAAATTAGATGAATTGCATTCGGTTTTGAAAGGATTTTAGAGTTGATCATTCATTTCCATTCGAATATTGTGCCCAAGTCTATTCAAATTGAAAGCTTTGCTTCGATAACCAAATCGATTTCAATTGAAAGCATTAAGTTGACAGATCACATTGCATTGGATACAGGTGCAAGTGTAAAAATACAACGCCATCTTGCTAGTTTGAATATCGACATCAAAGTTCCCATCTGAAAATATTTTGACTGTTGAGACTTGAAAACATATACGAAATATATACCATGTACCGTGTTTTAATTCATGTGAATCGTTTCACTTTTATCGCCTTGAATTCTTATGTATGGCATAGATGTCGTTCATTTCTGTGTTAGTCATTATTCAATTTTGCGCTGAAATACCGTACC